AATACATGAGGATGGAGGATTTTAGATTTGGTATTTAAAAGATCATGATCATTTTAAAATGTATTAAATGTTAAATATCAACATATTAAAGGCACTAAAATTAATGGAAATAATTTTACTGTAAAATATATAATATACCGGGACTCAGTCACAGAATGGATATTTTACTCTAAAAACATAATGGGGTCAATGAAAACCGGGGTCATATTACTCCCCAACAAAATTCTAAAATAAGGATACCTCAATACATATATCCAGGGCTTGAAAAATCCACTCGTCTGTTGAAGTGATGTAGATTACATCACTTCTTGCATTCAGTGTCACTCTCTAGCTAGAGAAGCTGATGAAGCCGATCTCTGCTTCATCAGCTTCTCTGGGGGTCCCTAGGTGACATTAGGGGTCTTGGAGACCCCTGATGTCTCCATAAAGAGGACCTGTCATGTAAATTGGCTATCCCATAGGGGGCTTCTTAGCCCCCCATGTAATAGCAATAAAGTTGTGTGTAAAAAAAAAAAAAGTAATAAAAAAATTAAAGAATCATTAAAAAAATAAAGCATTAAAAAAGAAAACATTTTTTTAAAGTCCCCGCCCCCCACATACACACGCAGATATGCGTCGGGTACGCCTACGTGCGAAAACGACGATTGCGCCTATTGCGCACATGTTACATATCGCCGCAAACGTCGGAGTGAGAGCAATAATTTTAGAGCCATTAATCAGTGATAACACTAAACTGATCAGCAGTAAAAGCATTTTAATCATCGCCTATAGGTGATTTTTGCGGGCGCACGCAATTTTAATGCTTGACATGTTTGGTGTCTATTTACCCGACGTGACCCCGACTTTTATGTTTTACTAAAAATATGGGTAAGAATAAATGTTTTATAACATAACGTAGGGGAACTTATTTTTTTTTTACATTTATGGTACTTTTTTCATTATATAGTAAAAAAATAATTAACACCCCCCGTGGTGATTTATATACCTCCAAACGAAAGCTTTATCTGTCCCCAAAAAATGTTCGAATAAATTGCAAGGCTATAGTCTGGTCATGCTGACTGGTGACATTTTTGACTGACTGGTAAGACACCGTCAAATTTTTCAAGCCCTGAATATATCCAAACTAGAACATCCTTAACACCAAAACTTTTTTTTACTTAAGTTTTTTTTTACTTAAGTACTGTTACTTGGAAGTTGGAATAGCTCAACTACCAATCACTTCAAATACGACAAAAAAGACTCAGGACTGTTGAGCAGTTGGAATCCTAGATCAGGCAAGAATGGGACAACATTTCTCTCCCAAAAATCCAGCCACTGGTCTCAGTTCCCAGAGTGTTTGTTATAAGGAGAGGAGATGCTACACAGAGGTAAACATGGCCCTGTCCCTACTTTTTTAGAGACGTATTGCTGCCACGAATTTCAAAATGTCCTTATTTTTTTCTTAAATAATACATTTTCTCAGTTTAAACATTTGATATGTTTTCTATTGTGAATAAAATATGGGCTTATGAGATTTACAAATCATTGTATTCTCTATTGATGTAGATTTTGCACAGCGTCCCAACTTTTTTGGAATTGGGGTTGTATTTTTGTAAGATTTTATGGAAGTGTGTGTGTCATGGAACAGGAGATTTCTCTATCTAGCGGTTTGCCAAAAGTTTTGAATTTTAAATAATCCTTTTTATCTTAATACTTTTCTTTTAGATTTAGTAAGAATTGTGGAAGTTATGTTCTATTTATACAGTATGTGCTAATAATGATTTTAGTGTTTTTTTTATAGACGTTTTTGTAACTATCATGGGACATAAAAAAATCAAGAACACCTTTTTAATTCAACAGGCCCTGTGCTTTCAGAAAATATATGGTTTGTTCTTCTTTTACTAACTTTCAAAGCTGTAAGTGAAAAATTGCAGAAAAATAGCAAAAATGGTCCTGTCACCTGAGGAAAAAAAAGAGAAGCTGGGCCTGGCAGAGACAGGGTTAAGGATCAGGTTCTGTTCTTCTCAGGCAATGCTAACTCCAATAGGATAATGAGCGCCTCTTTGGCTTTTCAGCATCAGGCCTCTGTTTCCTAGATTTGTAGGGCAGCCATCTGTTCACATGTTCCCCAAGTTCTACCAAGAGCCTCATGTAATGCCAGCTTTGGACGTAAGGTCCTTCAGCTCTTTGAACTGCAGACAATGGTTCCCCTTACTGTTGTTTACGATGGGCCTGTTAGCAGTGGTTTTCTGTGTTGCCCACCCTACTCAGCTGGACCGCTTTACTGGTCCCAAAGGTTTACGGCTTTCTGCGTGCCTTAATGGACGAGAAAGAAAATAAAATTTGTGTACTCATGGTAAAATCCTTTTCTTGGAGTCCATTGAGGGAAACCGGACCCATCGATCTGTGTTTTTGATCATGTTCTTAGTACTACTTTGCTACAAAACTGAGGCATGCCAGTAGTAAGAGGTTATACCCTGGGCAAGCCTACAGTTCTTATTCTTTATAAGTGTATATATAAGAACTCATACCTTCAGTATAACCTGAAGGCTTGAGTTCCTGTGTCTTTCAATAGGATCTCTGTACTACCGTAGAATCATTTTCTTGGAGTTCATTGTCCTTTAACATTAAAGTAAACTTGTTACAAATCTGGATATTTCAAACTAAGCATAATATAATAGGAAAAGTCCTAGGCAGAGGTTACCTTCAGTGGAACATTCATGCCCAAATATTGGAATATCCAGAGAGCTGGGCAGCTGATGTAATGGGAATCCTCATTGACCAACCATTATTTGTCTAGTTTTGGCTGTCTGCATACATAAACAAATCTTAGATGTTGGGCTGATGGTTTGGTTCATCTTATCCCTCTGCATGCTTGGTCTTATGCTAGTGAGCACACCTTATCTACTAAATGCATGTTATTTGTTTTGAAAATGTAAAAACTTACAAAATCTTAGTGTTTTTAGATTCTTTTAATGAACCTTGGTTATTCTTTGTTTAATTTACTATATATTCACTCACAGAATGAACTGGAGGCAGCATGGGGAGTGAAAGTTTTTGACAGATACACAGTGGTCCTTAATATTTTCAGATACAATGCTCGCACAAGAGAAGCTAAGCTGCAGATTGCACTGGCTGAACTTCCACTACTAAGGTTAGACACAGTGTAATTATTACTACTTGTTATGCTTTATAATTGGCTATTTAAGTCAGGGCAGCAGATTACCAAGACACACTGTCACTTTGCCCATTAAAGGAGAACTATGAGGTGAGTGCTTTTCACTCACCTCATAGTTCTAGCCGACCTGTGACAATGAGACTGTCACAGGTCGGCTCAGTAGATCGGGAAGTGAGCGAACACATACCGGCATTCGCTCACCTCTCGATCCTGTCACGGGTCTCTGCCGTGACAGGGGAGGGGCTCTATTCTCCCCTCCCTGCTCCGATCAGCAAGCGCTGACTGGCGGAACTGACCGGGAGGGGGTGGGTACAGCTGGCTCTGCCTCTAGATAGGCAGAGCCAGCTGTCGCTCACGCAGCTGGGCGGATCCAGACATAATTGTCGGGATCCGCTTCAGCTGCGGCGTCTCAGTATACCGCGGGCAGTAGCTTGCGCTATACTGTGGCGTCTCAGTATACCGCGAGCTGCATACAGCTCGCGGTATACTGAGCTTAGGGTGGCGGGAGGACGCTAGTTTGTGTCCTCCCGTTACCCTAAGGAGAACTATGGGGAAAAGACTTAACCCCATAGTTCTCCTTTTAAGGTCTCATGAAATCCCATCTCCCCACCCACTTATGCTCCCCTTTGCTACAGTTCACCATTGCACTTTTGAAATTCCTAGGCCTCTTCAGTATAGAGGAGCATGTGACATCCTCATGGAATGCAATTACAGGTCCTACAAATGCTATGGTCAGGCCCAAACACTGATGTGAGGCGGGGTTGACATTGTTTACTCTACATATGCTCTGACACCATCCAACATAGTTTGCACAGGGTTAGGACTCGTTGCTCTGACAGAAGAACAGGTAGGGGAGAAGGGTAGGGATGCTAAGTATAAGTACGCTTAGGGGGTGGGACTATAGGCTCAAGTTATAAAGCTCTAAGATGTTCAAATGCATGAAGTTGCAGTTCACTGGAAAATGCAGAGTTTGACAAGAATATGCTGTGTTTGGCCTGTTTATCTGCAGCTGCCTTAATAGGACATGCTTCGTCCTAAGATGCACAGTGCAATGCAAAGCAGTTCAAATGCAGCCTCTAACCTGCCCTGTGTACTGTTCAATTAAAGACTATGGCAGTTTGCTGACATGCGTATGGAATGCACATGAAAGCTGTGCCTGTTGACATTGGCCTTAGGGCACTCTATTTTGAGCCATGTGACTTCCAATTTAATTGGACTCAACTAAGAATAACTGTCAGTTTTTTTATTTTTTTCCAATAAAGATACTTATCCTGGTGTATTAGGTTTGTGAACTACGCCATATTATATCACTTTGTCCCTGCCACTTACAAACATTCATTGTAAAAGTACAATCAAATCAAGTGACCTGATGCTGCTGTCCTTCCTATTTCACAACCAAGGCAAGATTGCTGCAGAAGTCTAAACTGGTCAAATATGATGTACTGGTAGTCACTTGGCAATTTGCTTTGTAGACCCCGAATAGGCACTTTACAGGGAAGTTCTTTTTGGGGGACTGAAGTCCAAACTGGTGGCACTAGAAGTGACAGATTTGCTGCCGTTTTTCTTGTGGTGCTGCCACTACAGCCTATAAGAACTGTTACCCAGATTACCAGAGTTAGTTCCAGATATAGCAGTTATGCTAGTAGCAGAGCAATAAAAGATCATGTACACCGGTTAGAGGTAAGGATTGCTACAAATTAAATAATGGCCTTCCACCCATTAGAATATTAGTCTAAACAAGGGGTAGGCAACCTTGGCACTCCAGCTGTGGTGAAACTGCAAATCCTATCATGCCTCTGGGAGTCATGCCTGTGGCTGTCAGTCTTGTAATGCATCTTGGGACTTGTAGTTCCACAACAGCTGGAGTGCCAAGGTTGCCCACCCCTGGTGTAAACAAACACAGGCTATTTTAGTACATTACGTGATGGGACATAAAAATGTATTAGACCATCATAGTGATAGGTTAGGTAGAAAAACCTATTCCTATGTTGTGCACTATACAATAGTACCTAAAAAAGTGACTGAGGGCAGCTCCCGGGAAGGACAGGTGCTGCGTGCGATTACATGCAGCAGCCTGTCCTTCTCTATGGGAGGACACGGCCGTACGCCACCCTACGCTGAGCCGAACTGCACGTCGGTGCGGGTGTCTGTACTCGTACACTGACTGGGTGGATCCCGTCTGCGTCCGAGCAGGGACATTTGCACCCGTACGGACGTGGACTTGGGGTGAGCGTAGGGGGGCGTACAGCCGCATACACCCATAGAGACGGACAGGCTGCTGCGTACAAATCACACGCAGCACCTGTCCTTCCCAGGAACGGCCCAATACGGCCGTGCACGCAGCATGGAGCTGTACGGTCCGGCCGTTTCTCGTGTCAATGAGGGCTAAACCATCTTTCTTCCAGTCTTCCTGTAATACCTCACTTCATGTGTAAGAGAAGGTAGACTTGGCTTTTTCTCCCTCTTGGAGACATTGCTGTAACACAGCTGGATATATTCTGGCACAGCAGACTGGGGGGGACTGTTTGCTACTGAATGAGGCTTGTGAGTTATGACTGTTTCAGTGCAAATAACACTCAGGTTTGAAAATGTAGGTTTTAAAACTGCCTGAATTTTATTTTATTTTTTTCTTTCTATTGAAGATCTCTACTAAGAAATGAAATGGCTCACTTGGACCAGCAAAGTGGAGGTTCAAGATATGTAATGGGGTCAGGTAATCCAGATTCTTTCTTCATTTACAAGCTGTGGATTAAAGTAGGAACTTCTCATATTTTCTGACTTTTGGCCATTGAAAATGTTATGTTATAGCTGTTTGATATGTGCAAAAAATAGCTTTGTGCTTAAATGAAATCCTAAGAAGTCTTATCAGCCCTTCCCTATTCTCCTCTCTGAGCAACAGAACGCATCCTCTAAGTTATGTAGATAAAAGGGGAGGTGTTCTGTAGTCCTAACATACCTCTTGTCCTTGGGTGACAATGCTGTTCCTTCATAGATACATCACGGTGACTGTTGTCACTCTAGAACAAGTGTAGTGCTACAGGTAGGATCACCAGGTTAAAATACATTTTAAAAAATGTAAGACAAATGCAGCCACCACACCTAAGGCCTGGTATTCTGTGATATCATTTTTTTTGTTCTTGGGTTTAGGTACACTTTAAAGCAGAACTAAACTGCATGCTAAAAATAGGGTATGCATGTCTTGTGGCTTTTCTAGCTGTGGTTTGCGCACACTGCTAGACCTGCTATACTCTATGGCCTGTTTGCTTCAACTCTGCTGGTGGAACAGCCCAGATTTCAGAGACTTTCCACACCCTCCTCTTAGTATGTGATTTGTTTTTATAATTGTGTTAAATAGAGAGAAACTACGCTATAAATCAAATTACACTGTAAGAGCAGCTGTGTTTGATAGGTGAGTACACCCAAAATAGGAAAACAATAGAGAAAAATAGCACAGCGCTTCACAAACTCAACAAATATATTCCTAAAATGTGAGAATTTTACCAATTGTGAAATTATTACAAAGTAATGAAACAATTATGTGTTGTCCACAACACTTATTAGCACAGGCATTGTGCAACACAATACTTCAGAAAAAACTCTTGGTCTAATGGTCTAGACACTATAAGCCATCATAAACATGTGAATAACAAAAAAAACATATACTTGTGCTACTACATCTCATAGAATGTGTACATATAGAAAGTCCTCTATTAAATTCCCACTTAATCTACATATCCTTATGTGTAGTCTATTCCTTCTTAAAGGGCTATTAAACCTTTGTGTGTTTTGCATATATCTACTGCTAGCAAGCAGTAGATATATGCAAAAACATTAAAAAAAAACTTTTAAAAAGGGTTGAAACTTACCTGTGTCTTCGCCACGCGCTCCCGTCCGAACATCTGAAAAGTCTCGGGCGGCCGCAAAGGATTTTGGGGAGGGCGTATGTGCACGTCAGATGGTTCGGCCGGGAGACGAGGAGAGACACAAGGTAAGCCTATGGAGCAGCGTGCACCCGCACAGACTCCGTGGGACATCAGAGAAGAGGAGGACAGAGGAGACAGTACTGGATCGGAAAAAAGAAAACTTGCCGCACTCCTTAACGGGACTCCCCACAAAAAGACGGGTGCTCGAAATTACTGCGGGTGGCGCCGCCACACATAGACAAAAAGGTAGAAGGATCTCACAAGTGATGTACAATTCCCACTTAATCTACATATCCATAGTTGTAGTCCATTCCTTCATAATGCAATAAAGTCCTTGAAATATGTAAAGATATATTCTCCAACTTTTATAATCCACACCACGTCCGTGAAAGCATGAACAATTTGTTAATCGGTGTTACTCCACCGTGCTCAAAGATAAGATCTGGCCGCACTCACTGACTCCTGTTTTCTCACCATATTTCAGATGAACAATTAGCACTTTATAAATAGATAGATTAGATGGATAACTAAATCCTCTCCATTTTTTGATCCGACAATAAATTGGGGTATATTCTTCCAAAACCGTCTAATACTATTCCTCTATCATCCAACTTCTCTTGTACTCAGAGAGAAACAAATGCCTCCCATACTGTAGTATGTCAGAATAAATGTATTTAAAATGATTAAAATGCACACAATTAAAATAAGGCAATGACCTGGTCTGGATGCAGACCGTTGTCTCAGGGGAAGTCAATAGTGACGAAATGCATCAGGTGGGCGGATCCATGCGAGTATTACGATCATAGAGACAGGAACTCCAGTGGACATATTCTATGTGCAATTGCCTTATTTTAAACTATTTAAAATAATTATTTGAGAGCTACATAACTGATTCAAATCTTTTCCCAGAGTTCCACTTTATTTTTACCAGAAGTTTGATATAAATGCAATTCTCCTTAAGGTGAAACATTAATGGAGATCCAGCAGAGACTGCTAAAGGAGAGAGAGCTAAAGCTTAAGAAGGCTTTGGAGAAGCTACGGAAGAAGAGAAAGCTTCTTAGGACACAGCGCAAACGGCGGGAGTTTCCAGTCATCTCTGTAATGGGTTATACCAACTCTGGTGTGTATACAAATTGTTTAACATACTACAATATTCTAAGGGAAATGCTACATAGTCATTTCATTGTTGTTGTGGTATTTGCAGGAAAAACGACCCTGATAAAGGCACTCACTGGTGATGCAAACCTTCAGCCACGTGATCAGCTTTTTGCCACACTTGATGTCACTGCCCACGGTGGATTGCTTCCTTGTCGTATGCCAGTTATATATGTTGATACCATTGGCTTTCTTTCTCAGCTGCCTCACAATTTAATAGAGTCTTTTTCTGCCACATTAGAGGATGTCATCCATTCGGTAATCACTTTAAAATAAGAAACGCTCTATCATATTTGCAAATGATAAATTGGTGTGTCTTCCGCTCCTATAATATGTTACATTCTGTATTATCTTGGCACCATAGATCATAACCATAGATTGGTTTAAACAAGTGTGTGTACCCTAATGGCTCTAAACCATATTGCCAGTCAGAGAATGTATTTGTGACAAGTATGGGTGGAATAGAACATGAACAGTGATCAAAAGTGATTTAGGACTCTCGGCACGGGGTTGCATTATTAGGCAGTGCAGCACACAGGGTATTTACTACCTTTACAGACAAAGGTTGAGTTCACAGGTGGTGCAAAATGACAATTAATGAGCAATTGGGACACGGAAGAAAAATGGGGTGCTGCAAGGGACAATCAGCAGGACCACAGGACGGCAGTAGAGTGCAGCAAAGGGTAAGGCCAGAGGGTGCAGAACAACAGTCCAGGGTCCAGAGGGGGACGTGCAGCAGGGTTACAGAACAGCAATATGGTATGTATAAGGGAACATGTCCAGAAGGTGACAAGGCAGTTAAATAGGGATACAGCAGGAGACAGTGAGCAAAATCACAGGGCAGAAATATGGTGCATCATGGGGACAAGTCCAGAGGCTCACAGAGCAACAGTCCAGGGTACAGTAAGGGACAATGGACCGAATCACAGGGCAGCAATACGATGCAGCAAGGGGAGTTTAGCAATAAGGTACCACAAGGGTTAATGCATACTCTTGTATCAGGCTCTCGGCAATCTAGAGGCTTCCTGAATGAAAGGAGGAGAGAGGGCCCTGTGCAGCCTGGCTAGAGGTTTAGGTCTGCACATACCACCAATGCAGCAAGGCACACAAAAAAAGGGAAGAGATGAGCTGTTAGCCCCTGCTGAGGTATTAAATATGAGCTGGGACATTATCCCATGACAAACAACCTGATGATTAGCATTGCTGGCTGTGGGATTGTGCCCTGGGGACAAGCTCCACCTCCTTCCAGCCCAGCCACATTCAGGACTGTGGTCATGGACAAGCTCTTGGTCTCAGACGGGCACTGCCACAGCACGGGAAGCCGGTCTGTACCATGCTGAGATTTGTTGGCACAAGTGGCCACTTTCTCTCCCCTAACAAAAAGTGGGCATGGGGGCAGTGGGAACCCTGTGAGCAGGGTTATTGGGAAAGGCGGCCTGTGAGAGTATTGTAAAGTTACCTGTCCTCTAAATCAATTCTAGACCAAAGACAATAGATAGGAATGCATGCTATTATTTTATTCATTTGGGGTAAATGATTGCTGTAAAGTGGTACATTACTGGCTATATAGTTTTTACCTTGAAGGAGCTATGGAGAAACATTATTGTAATATGACATTGTACCTGTACCATGCCCAAAGTTCAGGCAGCACTATATTCTAGTCTAGTCTAGTCTAGTCTAGTCTAGTATTCTAGTCTATATTCTAGTCTTTTTTTTTTTTTTTTCACTATTAAAGGAGAACTACGAGGTGAGTGCTTTTCACTCACCTCATAGTTCTAGCCGACCTGTGACAATGAGACTGTCACAGGTCGGCTCAATAGATCGGGAGGTGAGCGAACACATACCGGCGTTCGCTCACTTCTCCATCCTGTCACGGCTCTCTGCCGTGACAGGGGAGGGGCTGGATTCCCCTCTCCCCGCTCCGATCTGCCAGCGCTGACTGGCGGAACGGACGGGGGAGGGGGCGGATACAGCTGGCTCTGCCTCTAGATAGGCAGAGCCAGCTGTCAGTCACGCAGTTGCGCGGATCCCAGCACAATTGTCGGGATCCGCTTCAGCTGCGGCGCCTCAGTATACCGTGAGCTACAGACTTAAAAGAGAACTATGACATGAGTGATTTCCACTCACCTCATAGTTCTAAGCCGACCTGTGACAATGAGACTGTCACAGGTCAGCTCAGTAGATCGGGAGGTGAGCGAACACATACCGGGTTCCCTCACCTCTCGATCCTGTCACGGCTCTCTGCCGTGACAGGGGGAGGGGCTGGATTCCCCTCTCCTCGCTCCGATCTGCCAGCGCTGACTGGCGGAACGGACGGGGGAGGGGGCGGGTACAGCTGGCTCTGCCTCTAGATAGGCAGAGCCAGCTGTCACTCACGCAGCTGGGCGGATCCCGTCATCTAAGTCGGGATCCGCTCCAGGTGCGGCGTCTCAGTATACCGCGAGCTGTAGCTCGCGGTATACTGAGCTTAGGGTAACGGGAGGACGCTAGTTTGTGTCCTCCCGTTACCCCAAGGAGAACTATGGGGAAAAACACTGACCCCATAGTTCTCCTTTAACCCCATAGTTCTCCTTTAAACTTGTGGTTATTGTATTCATCATCGTAGAATGATAGTTTCTTCATCTCTTGTGCAGCTGCTGTTCAGAAACTGACTCATGTATGCTTTGCTTGCCAGGATTTATTAATTCATGTGAGAGACATAAGCCACCCTGAAGCTATCAATCAGAAGAAGAGTGTGCTGAACGTGCTCTCCAACTTGAATGTTCCCCAGAAGCTCCTTGATACAATGATTGAGGTGCACAATAAAATTGACTTAGTTGAGGAGTAAGTGAACTAAATTTTGTGTATTTAACTGCGTTCTTGAAAAGATCCTTATTTCCCAGTCTGTCTTGGGGTTTGTTTTTGGTGCGAAACAAAAACTGAGATTCAGCTAGAGATGATTTGTCTGTGTAGTTGTATATTTTCCCAACCAAGATGTAGACACTGCTGCAGAGAGTGAATATCCTAGTGGAGTTCAAGTCTGAAAGTAACTTCCCTAGGATACATCATTGGCTGGGTGTAGCCTTGAAGCGCACCTTCATTTTCCTAATGTTAATGTTCACACTCCTCGTTTAATAGAATTGCATTCTTGTTAAATACCTTTTTGTAAGGTTCCCTCCCTCCTAGTTCTGTATTTCTCGCCCTTAGCAAGAATGACATTGTGGTACTTTCCACTGCCTGCAGACTCCTGGGAAATGAACATCATATAAACTCAAAGTCTTCAGGCAACTCTGAAAGTGTTGGGTACGCAAGCACCAAATTGTTGGCATCTGCGCACTCATCGTTCTTGCAGGGGAATCATATTGTTTACACGTTGCCATGGAATAGCCAACATGTAAATAGTATGATTCCGCGCTTAATGCAGTAAACAGCACCATGGTCCTGTGAGAGTCCACGACCAAAACAGAAGCCACTTCGAGGACCCAAACTCAGAAATAAAATATATAGATTTTCTTGTTATTGCAAAACATTTATTTACACTTCACCGCATCCTAAAAACAAGACAAGACAACGTTGTCTCCACACTGGCACACATTCGTACAGCACTCGCAGACCACCCCTCAGCAGTACTGTAAAATGACTGCTTGTATCCTAATCCAGGTGTGTCCACCCGAAATACAAGTCTTCATTCTTGCTGGATAAGCCTGAAAAGTATTCAATAAACAAACGTCCTAATCGACAGGCGTTCCTGTGAGGGAATCTATGATAGCAATGTGGATGTTATTGAAACAATCAGAAATGGTTGCAACTTCTGTATTATTGTTGGTGTATTACTGTCAGAATGTAAACAATGTAATCCGTCCGTCACACCTAATCACAGATCGCCATACTCAGGCTGTTCTGCTCGTTCACATTCCTATCTTGCCTCACCAGTTCATAGATAGCCATTCGTTTGGTACATCATAGGTTAACCCTTCTTTGTCCTCTAAAGAGGATTCAGAAAATGCAGATTGATCCAAATTTGCCGACAAAGTCCTTAATAGAATTGAACGCAGCCGCTTCACAGTATTTCCAGATAGCAGCAAAGTTATTATGAGAGCTCTGAGCCGTCGGCGGACACGGGGCTAATTTTTACTCACTCTCAGTTGGTTGCAATCATTTACTTGACTCCTGATTGTAGCAGGGCCGATTTCACATGGCTGCCTTAGTCCAGCCACATTCAAGTTGAATTAAAGATTCTGACAAAGCCTCGGTGTGGGTGGGGCAAAACGCTTCAATGGTAGAGCACCACTTGCCTCCTCGTGGTTCACCCACTACAAGCTATGATCGTTTGATCACCTAATGGATTCCCCGGTGGTATCTACACAAATCATTAATTCAACTTGAATGTGGCTGGACTAAGGCAGCCATGTGAAATCGGCCCTGCTACAACACGAGTCAAGTAAATGATTGCAACCAACTGAGGCTGTGAGTAACAATTAGCCCCGTGTCCGCCGACGGTTCAGAGCTCTCATAATAACTTTGCTGCTATCTGGAAATACTGTGAACCAGCTGGGTTCAATTCTATTAAGGACTTTGTCTGCAAATTTGGATCAATCTGCAGCCAGGAAATCTGCATTTTCTGAAACCTTTTTAGAGGACACAGAAGGGTTAACCTATGATGTACCAAACGAATGGCTATCTATGAACTGGTGAGGCAAGATAGGAATGTGAACGAGCAGAACAGCCTGAGTATGGCGATCTGTGATTAGGTGTGACGGACGGATTACATTGTTTACATTCTGACAGTAATACACCAACAATAATACAGAAGTTGCAACCATTTCTGATTGTTTCAATAACATCCACATTGCTATCATAGATTCCCTCACAGGAACGCCTGTCGATTAGGACGTTTGTTTATTGAATACTTTTCAGGCTTATCCAGCAAGAATGAAGACTTGTATTTCGGGTGGACACACCTGGATTAGGATACAAGCAGTCATTTTACAGTACTGCTGAGGGGTGGTCTGCGAGTGCTGTACGAATGTGTGCCAGTGTGGAGACAACGTTGTCTTGTCTTGTTTTTAGGATGCGGTGAAGTGTAAATAAATGTTTTGCAATAACAAGAAAATCTATATATTTTATTTCTGAGTTTGGGTCCTCGAAGTGGCTTCTGTTTTGGTCGTGGACTCTCACAGGACCATGGTGCTGTTTGTTGAGTATTATTAGGTCACTGATCGAACTCTTAATTTGGACTCCTGGATATAAAATATTTTTTTTCCCCAGACTTTAATGCAGTGTTGGCTTCCCACTTAGATTTGGGTGTGCATGAGTTTATCCCCTCAACCTTACATGAAAGGTGCAAGGCCTGCAAGCTTCTTGATGTCTGGTGCTGAACATACCCTGAGCAAAGGGAATATCCATGCCAGTCTGACTTTTATAATACTTTCTCCAGAATGGATATGATTTTTGCTTCCTCGGATCTCTCATGTAACTTGCTTGCCAAGAGTGATCATTTTCCACTAGAACTCACATTTAGCATAACATGGAACCCTGAATAATGGGCCCTTACTTATTAAATGATCCAATGGTAGAATGGACAATTTTTGGGGAGAAAATGAGGATGAAAACCTGAGAGGAAACAAGGTGGGATGCCTTATAGGCCATGAGGAGGGGTCCTTCTATGCCTGCAGTATGAGCACCCAGGAAAACTAACGAGAACAAGGTGCACAAATTAGAACAGGCATCCTTGGCAGCTGAGAGAACCTACATACATGACTTTTCCCCAGACAGGTTGCAAGCATGGAAATGTCAGAGATCATATAGCATTGCCCCAGCAAAGGGACCTCAAGATCGACAACTTTATTAGGCACAATCTGACAATTACTATACCTAGAATCTGGCAATAACCAATCTTTTTTTGCATCTCTATAGCAGACTTAAGGAAACACAAGCCCACTATGACTCGGTGGACTTCACAGCTTCTCTTCACCCCTTTTGATGTTAAATCTCCCACTCCTCAAAGGGAATTTCAAGACTCCCAAATTGAGCAGGCCTTCTCCACTTTCTCTTAACATAAAGCTCCAGGATTAGATGATTTTCCCATAAAACAGTATCTATTGTATAAAGACACACTAGCTTTAATTGGATTAATACCCAAACCCAACAGGAACCATCTCTATTGTGAGTCCTATACACCAATTTTATTGATCAATACTGACATTTAAAATCCTAGCTAAACTAGTGTCAAGATGTCTGAACTCTTGATTCCTACTCTTATTAACTCTGACCAAACCAGATTTATTTGGGGTAGGCTGCAAATATTACCAGGATCTTTACCAAACCTCAAATCTTTCCCCCACCCCTGCCACCACCACTCCAAGAGCCATTCTGCCTTTGACACCTGTAAAGCCTTTGATTTAATGGCCCTTCCTGACACTTCTATGTGTTAAAGAAACCAAAATGATTTGCATATTTTGACATGTACATGTGTATTACAATTTGCTTAATAAACTTTATTATAAAAAAAGATGTATAGAAAACCTCATGGGAAGTTAAATGACAGAAATCCGTCATAAAGCAACTCACTTGTGTAATGGAAGCAGCCATTCCCAGACTCCTGTGTTGCAGTATATTCAGAGTGAGAGCTGAATGAGGAATTGGCTAATTCCATGAGAATGTATTCATACAAGTGTTTTGCCTTTTATAAAGGCCCTAGGTTCTGTTATAAGTAAACTTTTGGTAAAGGAGTTGTTTTAATCGTTCTAGACACGACACTAAGGATGCAGCTATTCCTGTATCTGCCCTAATTGGATATGGCTTGGAAGACCTCAAACAACGTATAGAGACTGAGGTGATGGAAAGCACGGGGAGGATAGTTGCTACAATTAGAGTAAATCTGGAAAGTGCTCAGTTAAGGTATGTAAGAATCATGCAGCCCCTCTAAGTTTGTGTGTCTGTTACAGTGTATGACATCTCCCAATCACTGTTGTATTTTTATTTTTTTTATATATTAAATGTTTGTAGATGTTAAAGCAGAACTGCGATGTAAACTATTAAATACACTGCTGAAATACATACACGTGAACTTGTACAAAATGTAGTTGGAGAAACCATCTGAAAACACCAGACTGGCTTCTTATATTACATTGGGTGCCAACTTATAGTCTAAATCAGGGCTCAAAATTTCCACTCGCCCCCTCGCAATTGGCGAGTGAAAATTGCGTGGGGGCGAGTGGAAATCCAGGGGGGGGACTTCGGCAGCGCCGATCGCTGTCTGTTTCCTCCACCCGCTTCTTGGAGCGGCACCGCAGCACATAACAAGAGACCAAAGGTGGAAAAGTCATTTAAATGTGTAAAGCTATTACAAGACAATTTTTATAGAATCTCACTCCCATAATAGACTACAATCTCAGTACAAATTAGCTAACTAAACATTAGTGTAAACCATCACAGGAGTGAGCTTGGAGTGGTGACTACTTTACAACACACCATGGGGAACAAAAGTGGCCACCCTCCAGAAGGAAGGACAGTGTCCGCACCAATTCACAGAGATGATTTGAGGATCTACAGCCGAGTGATACACAAATAAGATACTTTTTTGTTAATAGTTAAGGTACTTGAATGTATTTTTAAGATTTACTCCTGAGTTTAGTGTCACTTTAAGAATAGCAATAATGCAACGCCAAGCGGCAGTTTCTAATGCAAGTAAAATAAATGAAACATTTAATTCCATACAGAGGCCGTATTCTTATAATACTGTCTGTATAAATGTACAGGTATCTTCATAAAATGATATATTTTATATATTCATTTGCATGCCTCCAAGCGTGCATATGTAAAAGACGTGCAAAGATGTGAAGCAGTACAGTCTGAAGGCCTTCTAAATGATTGTCACCCTTGGCCGAGTCTAGTCTATATGCCTCTTCATGCACACTATTCACTTGTCATTCACTTTCATTGTATAAAGTATTGTAGCCTGAGGCATTATTGATCATGAAGTGGTGACTATCTTACCTTTTCTGATCTATATATTTTGTCTTGTCAGTTGGCTTTACAAGGAGGCTTCTGTACAGGAAGTGAAAGTATTACCAGAAGATGGCGCAGCTGATGTGCTTGTCATAATAACCAGTGCTGCTTATGGAAAATACACTAAACTGTTTTGTAAATGAACACTTGAACTAGTTTTAATAACTCAGAACTTGAAGTGCACTTTTGGATATTTTCTTGCTGTTACAAAATGTTGTGGACTCAGAATGTGAAGTACAATTTTAAGTGTTTTAATTGCTATTTCAAAATGTTTTGGACAAAGGAGAATATCTGTGTAAAGGCAATAAGCACTGTACAGAAATCTAATGTGTGAATAAATGGAATGTTGTCTTAAAATAATCTTCAGTGCATTGATAGAACTATATTGTTAGCATTGTCCTATACAAAATAAAACTATTTTCATAACAGTATTGGTGTGATTTATCTCAAGAATTAGACTCGCGTTATAAAGAATATTGCTCTGTGTGTTTTCAACAATAGGAGTACAAAACAAAATGTTGGGTGTGAAGATCTACAGTCCGTTTAGAGAAGTCAGGCAATTCCGTCTGTGGTGTCAGAGGATGCAAATAATTGGAAGATGCTATGATTTTCTAATGACTTGTTCACATCTGCAAGCACATGTGATTTTTTTTTTTTTTAAAGATTTGACTCCTGAGTTTAGTGTCACTTGAATAATAGCAACAAATGCAATGCCAAGCTGCAGTTTCTAATGCAAGTATAATAAATACAAAATTGAGACGCATGCGGGCGGCTGTCCCTTGTGTCAGGGTAGTGCTTTGCAAGGCACTGTGTACCCTTTTCTTTGGTTCTTTATTGGAAGTGTCACAAAATGACACTTTACTGAAGCCTATGCACTGCACTACAACACAGCATTGTGATGTGAACAGGGCATAGTGCCCTAGCTTTCATCTGCAGAAAACTGATCATTCTTCTGGCTACCCAAGAATGCTGCTTCTAAAAGCTCACCTTTGCACTCGTGACAATTGTAGCCACAATTCTAGGGGAGATTTCTATTCCTTCACCACCATGGTTCTTGTTAACATTGTTGTGGGGCAAAAACCTAGTACTTGATTGTTAGCCCTGCATGGAGATTGTAAGGTAATATTAAACCTTCCTTTTTATGGTAAGAAGGGTCATACATTGACAAAAGTCCTAACCTAAAGCGATCTCTTTCCTCATTTTCTAGCTGATCTCTAAACCACTCTCCCCTGCCTGCCTGTTGTGAGTGTCTCCATCAGCTAGCTGGTTGCTGAAGAGACACCCCTGCATGTGTGTTCCTGGCTGTGGCCGGAAGTAAACTGTACACATCTATAGATAAACAAAGAGTGTGGCCCATCCTCTCCTACCAACCCATTGACGGCAAAAGGAGCCAATTGCTCTGCTGCCCTCAGTACCCACCCCCCACAACCAGGAAGTTTAGAATGGAGGGTATCTTCAGGAATCCTGCGCGGTGACAAGTGACCATTGGTAAATGTGGGTGAGACAGGGGCACACAGAAAGGTACTATGCATTTTGCTGGCAATGCATTACGGTAAAAAGACATCCAGCCTTTAGTAATACTTCAAGCATGTATACAGTACATACTGCCATCTACCTTATATGCAAATCTTCCTTCTCTTGATCCTTGCTGTTCCTAGCTAACATGATATATGTGATCACACTTTAAAAAACAGATATCTCAAGGGTTATGGTGCAAAAGCTCCGAGGTTTACTACTTTTTCATTATTTCAGAGAAGGAAGCTTAGTCATTACATGTCTAAAGAAGTTCGGCTTTGATTGCTAATATACAAGGACATGTGACTCACAAGGCTAATTTCGTGGCTGAATAGTTACAGTTCAGAAACATGTCCTTTATCCCACAGCCCCAGAATGAATAATCGGTTTTGCATGATAAGGTATTGTCAATGATCTTAACCAAAATGACACAACTCTGACATTTCAGCCATAAACGCTATAAATGCAGGTTAGTTGTCCTAACGCCTCGTATGTTCTTGCTGCGAAGAAAACATGAACACGTTTATAAACTGGCACTGGTTCTTTAGCAGCAATAATGTGACTTGAATGGGCACATTATGTCTATGATCAGTTTTTATCCAATAATAGCTTCCGATTAAGTTCAATGACATCAGAAACAAACTGTCCAGAGCCTATAAGATCTTCTGCAATGATGTTGGTGGCATCTTTGATATCTCCAGTGTGTTGCTTCTGCACCCAGCTGTTCAGGAATGAGAGTTTAGGCAAAGTTAATTTCTTCATGGACCCAAATGGGTGTTTTAAGACGTATGAGGCATTTTCTGTCAAATTGAGACCGGCCACAAAAAATCCATCTGAAACATGAAAATGGTTTATAAATGTTAAAATTGATTACAAGAATATAAGAACATATGCATTTGACTTTATTAACGTAGAACTAAAGTCCTGCAATAAAAAATGTAGTCGGGCCAGTCACAATCAGGCAGCGGCGGTGGCCTCTAAACAGGCAGATTAGACAGCCGCTCGCAGGGGCCTCCCGGGGTCCTAGCGAGGAGGAAGCGCCCTAATCTGCCTGTTTAGATGTCACCGCCGCTGCCTGATTGTGACTGGCCCAGGTCGGTCAGATCTATTTCTATTGGTGGTCCCTGAACCTGGGCTCACGTGCCATAGGTTCACCACCACCACAACACCACAGCATTAAGAAATCAGAGGCAACATTTCATCTAACAATTGGACTGCTGCATTTCAGAACACTCTGGATTTGGGGACCAATTCCCTTTGGAAATATAAATAACCATTACTCTATCGGTTTTGCTTCAGGTGCCTGAAATCCTCACCAGAGTTCAATACAAATCTGCTAAATTGGCTTCCATTAGAGAGAATGTCAGAGGTGGAAAAGGCAGCCAACTTGTTATATCTGTTAATTGAAAGAAAAAAATAGCATGATATTTAGAGGGTTCATTTATGAAAGTTCTGCTCGGCGTATAGCGTTCGCACAGTCCTAACGCCCCTAGATGGCACAGAAGGATATAGGAAATATACTTATCAGCGCCATCTGGAGCACTAGTGCTGTGCAAATGGCATCCGACCAGCAGACCTTTTCTAAATGAAACCCTTCTAACCATTTCATCAAAGCTTAATTGATGTTAGTAGACAAAACTTTCATTGTAAGCCTCAATGCATATGGTTTAGTGCTGTCAAACCTCTGTGCTGCAAATGTGACATCAATCTGTTATTCTTTTATAACTGTAAGACAACAATAGTACCTGGTCGTCCTAAGTGCTTTTTCCTTTCCAGGAAGTTTATCAAGGAGTTCTTATTTGTTGTGTTTGCCCACCAGTATGGTATAGAAGGCCAAAGGTATTCATTTTTTACTGCAATGTTGTTGTCATACGAAACAATAATCTGGAATCCTTTTTTCCACATGTTCCTTAGTGTAGCTTGTTCCTAGACAAATTGAACACAAGCATGCACTCAATGCCAATTTCATTCTACAATCAAAGTTCACTTTAAGCTCTAAAAGTTAGGCTTTAGGATTATGAAGAAAAAAAAGTGCCAACAACAAAAACAAAATGAGATATTTGAAATTTAAAGCAGAACAGCAGCTATAAAGAGTTATATATTTACCTGCTATTGTTTGGCACAATAAACTATACATACATTATCCCTGGCAGGACCACAGAGATCTTCTAAAACCCTGTATAGTCACAGCTACTAAAGTGTTTTACAGTGATCTTTCCTCCTACAGCCACTGCAGTGGCGGACCTAATAACCAAAGGGCCCTGGTGCAAGATTTTCATCTTGGGCCCCCCTCCCAAGACAGGGGTGGGCGCGGGATCGCATCACACGGGCCCCCCTCTGGTGGGCTCTGCAGGGTCCCAGGTTGGCTGGTCTGGTCGTCAGGATCCCTCCCTGTACCTCCTCCCAACTCTTCTTACCTGCTGCTGCTGGGGCCCGGCCTCCTCCACCCCCTCCCCCTCCACCCCCACCTGCAATGCCGCACGGTACAGTTGATACCCATGTACGAGCCCCCCCAGACCCCTCACATGGGTGCCGGCCATACCCCCTGATGGCGATGTTCTATCAAAGGTTGTGACTACGTTAGAAAGTGCGACCGGTGACGTGGTCACACGTTTTAACGTTATCCCGCCCAGTTTTTCGGCGCTGGAATGTGTGACCGCCAATAGGTGAAGCATTCCAGCAATTTCCCAGCTGTTCCAGGGCAGGAGATCGCATGTGCAGGAGAACCGATCTGCCATGAAACAGCTAATCGGTCCTGAAATGTCACTTCTATCCGACTGCGATCTCACATTCCACCTCAGTCACAAAGTCGGATAGAAGTGAAGTTTCAGGACCGATCAGCTGTTTCAGGGCAGATCAGTTCTCCTGCACATGTGATTTGCGATGCCGATCTGTCCTGGAACAGCGGAGAAAGCGTTGGAATGCTTCACCTATTCCACCGCCGAAAAACTGGGCGAGATTACGTTAAAATGTGTGACCACGTCACCGGTCACACATTCTAACGTAGTCTCAAAGTTTGATAGAACAGAGGCCTGTCTGTATTCATTTGATCAGATAAATAGATTATAATAGGGAACATTACAGTGTAATATTCCCCATTATAATCCACTTGTCTAATTAAATGAAACACAACACTCACCCAGCCAGAGGACCGCAGCCAGGGAGTTTCGAATCAATGTGTGCACTGCAGGGGGGCGGGGCGTGTGACACACACGTCTCCTGTGACTCCCCTCCCGCCGCCTGTTACTATGGATGCGGAGGGGAGGTGAGTCACAGGACCCGCCCCCTTACTAAGAAGCCGTTCGGTAGTGCGGGGCACCGGTGTTCTAACACCGGGACCCTGCACTGCCCCTTATTGCAGGACCGAGCCCCACCGAGGCTGTGGGGGTGCCCAGGACCGGACCACACTGGGCCCCGGTTAAAACACAATGGGTCACTTGCTCTGGATAGCGGCCATTTAGCGAACATCTAGTATTTTTATCAATTAATACTAGGTGTTCTCTGATTATATGAGGAGCACTGATGACGACACTGCCCCTCCTCCAATCGGAGAACACCTAGTATGTAGTCATAAAAAATACTAGCAGGGTTATTCCCAAAAGGGTGGAGAGCTAGGAGAAAAGAACAATCTAGGACGACAAAGCTAAACTGGAAAGTGAAGTGAATTGGAGAATTTTTCCAAATCTGCATTTTTGTCCTAGATTGTTTGCTTCTCCTTCCTTCTCCAAACTCTTCACCCTTTTGTGAATAACCCTGTTGGTGTTCACTAAAATGGCTGCTGTGTAGAGTTAGGATATATTTAACAAAAAGCAGAGGTACCATAAAACCAAATCCATCATAAATCTCCATTAGACAGAGTTTAAAAAAAAAAAAAAGGCTCCTAGTGCATATAGCCAGGTTTTAACACAGTCTTGAGAATGGCTTTGGTAGTTTAAAAAAAACCTCTATGCATATTTCATAATTCCTACTGTGATGGAGTTAACTTAAAGGAGACCTATGAGGTGAGTGCTTTTTACTCACCTCATAGTTCTAGCCGACCTGTGACAATGAGACTGTCATAGGTCGGCTCAGTAGATCGGGAGGTGAGCGAACACATACCAGCGTTCGCTCACCTCTCGATCCTGTCACAGATCTGTGCTGTGACAGGGGGAGGGGTTGGATTCCCCCCTCCCCGCTCCGATCTGCCAGCGCTGACTCGCAAAACGGACGGAGAAGGGGGTGGGTACAGCTGACTCTGCCTCTAGATAGGCAGAGCCAGCTGTCAGTCACGCAGCTGGGCGGATCCCGGCATAATTGTCGGGATCCGCTTCAGCTGCGGCGTCTCAGTATACCGCGAGCTACTGCTCGCGGTATACTGAGCCTAGGGTGACGGGAGGATGCTAGTTTGTGTCCTCCCGTTACCTAAGGAGAACTATGGGGAAAAGCCTTAACCCCATAGTTCTCTTTTAATAGAAAAGTGGTTACATTAATGTATGGGAAGATGCCAACCAATTAGGCACCAAAACACACCTATATATTACAAGGTCCAGAAGGTTGCCGGGACATATAAGTGAGATGTGCACATGTGCATTTGTCTCTAACAAATTGTAATATCCTTCTGTTCAATAATATGCTGGTTGTTGGATTACAAAACCCCGCCAAATGGAAATGTACAAAAGTGGCCATTAAGGGTGTTTCTGCCAAGCAGAATAACATTTTCTAGCACACCTCCTCAGACCCTTTGATTAGGTCTCATTAAGATCTGCAACACCCTCTCCATGGATAACAAAATGCTGTTACATTTGACAACTGTAGTTCTCGTGTACCATCAATACTATGAAGGAAAGAATCATTTATAATGGCCAGAGACTCTGAAATGTCAGATTGGACTTCAAGCACATTGGACACTGAATGGAACTAAAGACCAGACGAACTATGCATAAAGTGACACTAAACTCAGGAGTTAAATCTTAAAAACGTATTCAAGTACCTGAACGTTAAATAAAAATGTATCTGGTTTGTTTATTACTCGGCTGTAGATCCTCAAATCATCTCTGTGATGGTTCTAACTCTTTCCTTCCTTCTAGAGGGTGACTACTTTTGTTCCAGCTAGGTGGATCTCGACAGTAATGAGTAGATCTCAACCGCCCGGCTGCGGCAGTTTCAGTATACCATAGCTCGCCATATACTGAGCTTTGGGTGACGGGAGGACGCTAGTTTATGTCCTCCCGTGACCCTTAGGTGAACTAAGGGGAAAACCATCTCTTTTAACCTGCAATTTCCTGCTGTGCTTTTATGGTATATTATTTGTACCCAAACATATGAAAATGACAGGTATTTGTTAGAGGTCAACAATCATTAGTAATAGTTTGCACACAATATGTATCATGGACCAGACTCTCAAAAAGTGCACACGCCAGCTTAGCTAGAGGCAAGAAAAGCTTACATTTGAGTATCTTTAGTAAGTTCTGTATGTATACGTACATATTTTGGACATAGCCTAGAGCCGAATATCCTCTGTATACAGCTGATTAGATGCATATGGTGCACTGGGGACATCGATTGTAGGTTGCGGCACGCCAGGATAAGCATCTCCTTCGGGTTCTTAGTCATCCAGTCCGAGACCTCGTTCAGGATTTCCTAAGGTGCGGAAAAAAGTAACAAACACTTTCTAATAAACAGTTTTGTTTTTTTCATTTATAAAGACTTGAATGTGCCAATTTAGCAAGCTAAGCTTTCAAGATTAAAGTATTCACATACTGTATATTGTAATTATGAGAGTTTGTGAATTTCCACTTTGCAGCCAAATTAGGAGAAAACCCATGTCATGCTGTGTGAATGAGAACAAATATAAACTTAAAAACAACAATAAAGTGCATTTTGCACAATGCATGCTCTTTTCTGAAAGAAAAGTTGTTCACTGTACCGAGTTTTCCTCTGAAATGCAAGAGGGATTGGGCAGGATAAGGTTAACATAATTAACCCTGTCTGTACTGTGCTGGCAGAGTTCAGATGTAATCCAGATCTGAACACTGTTTTGTAACAAAGGGTTAAAGATTTAGAAGCATTATATGTTAGTGAGGGAAAGCTCAATCTGTCCCTAGTCTTTCTATGGGGACATACAGTGTGTCCTATCACTTGGACATTGAGAGACAAGCTTACAAAGGCCTGCTACACAGACATCTATTGGGTAGGAAATATTTCATTTGTATTATCTTTAGGTATGCTGTGTGAATAGGAACACATAACAATCAGAATGTGGTCTTTTCTCAAATTTGATTGCAAAAGTGGAAATTCCCCTTTAAAATAATAAAATGTAATTTTGCTATGTTCATAATATTAATATATTTATTTAAATGAATAAACTCTATGATAACCCATGATATGGTGTCTGCTCTAAATACAGTACCTCACCAATCACTTACCTCTACAGTCACAAAGGTATACAATCCATGTACAAAGTATAGGTTTGGAGAAGGAACGTCAGGTCTGTGAGCTATTCGAAGATCGAGGTATCTTATCCCAGCATCCAGTTGTTGAGTAACAGTTAAAGTCTATAAAAAATGTACAAAAACAATGTTCATGTTTTGTACTTATATATGTTACTATGTTTTAAAATACAGATCACTTTGTCAGAACTATGCCCTGGAACAGAACAGTTTGATTTCACAAGTCCTAACAAGGTCCGAGCCAAATATCCTGGATTCAGATGTATTATGTAAAAAGACATAAGACTCTGACTTCAAATAAACATTTTACTGATGGTAGTAATAAGGAACCGACAGTAAATGTCTCCTTATATTTTTTACCAATGTAACCTGCAACATGTTAGCTAATCTAACTTTTCACTTTTTTCCTTTACCCTGCTGTTACAAGAACTTTTGGTGGAATCTTTTAGGCCTGGTTCAGACCTAGGCATTTTCAAGCAGTAGAAAAAGTGCTTTAAAAACACCCAACACAAGAAATCTTAAGAATTTCAATGGCCCCTGTTCACACCTGAGCAGCAAAAACACCAAACGCAGAAGAACGTACATGAGCTTTTTTTTGGGAAGTTTGCAGCTTGTTTCCCCCCCCTAGCCGTCAATGGAAACGGAATGGCAGAAGCATTGACTGCAATGTTTCTTGAGCTGGCAGTCAAAACTGCCAAATTATGTGCCAAGCGCACATAAAACATGCAAAAAAAGCACACTGAACCCGTTCACAAAAACAATACCGCCTTGGTGTGAATGGGGCCTAAAGGCATAGTCCAGCTTTTGAAAAACAGTTATAATAAATGCACATAAATTCATCCAAAAATATATAAATGTGCATTAGAGGCGAGAGGAAATCCCTCCAAAGAGAGAGAAATCCCTGGTGGTCAGTGGGGGGGGGGGGGGGGGGCCCGAGAA